CCGCGTCCACCTGGGCCGCTTAGTGGGTGCCCCTCCACTCTGCGCCGCACTTGCCACGTGCTTCTCAGTCGGTGCCCGTCCATTCTGCGCAGCACCTGTCACGTGCGTCTCCACGTCCATCGTGTCGCCGCGCGTCTCCTCATCGACATCTGGTCCGTCCGCCTCCATGCGGGCGCCGTCGGGAAGAGGGCCGTCGTCGCTGTCGGCAAAGAAGCTGTCGTCCTCGCTGTCGGGAAGGAAGCTGTCATCGCTGTCACATGGTTGAGCATCGCCGTCGCCTGCTTGAGAATCGCCAGGCCCCCTCGGCTCGTAGCACCTGGTGACGCCGTAGTGTTCCCACATGGCGTGCTCCATCTCTGGCTGGTCGGGCGACGGTGGTCGGGCGAGGAGGCGCGCCATTTCTGGCTGAAGTTACGCCGACACCTCTGACGGCATCGGCGCAACTCAAGTCGCAAGAAAAGCTTGGCTTACTCGACAAGGCCAAAACTGCTACGGAGAGGGGACGGGCGAGGATCTTGGGGCACGGGGCACGGGGCGGCGATGGGCGACCAAAGCATTCAGGCGTTGACCCCAGAGCCCTGAACTCAACCCATGTCACGAAATCCTACAACAAGTCATCGAGCTGTCACGGCCCCTGCCAGCAATCACGCACCACTGTCTGGACTGTTTCACGGTGAGGGGTTGCTGACGCACGGGGTGATGCACCAGGTCTTTTTGACGAAGTGGCGTTTTCCAGTGCACCAGCGTGTCTCGACAGGAACAGGGTCGGCGACCGCCGCCCGTCACGACCCCTGAGAGGGAGAGAGCGCGCACATGCGGGCGGAGGAAATTAACGGTCGAGGTCGGGGAGGCGTGCACGTGAAATACCACCGCATCACGATGCTGCGGAGGTGCAGAAAACTCGTCTGGCATGGCCTCTGGCAAGGTACCCGTGCAACGAAAGCTTCTCGAACGTGCGAACCTCCCAGCTGGCGGCGTGTGAGCTGGCCGTTGCGACCGCCGCATCTAGGTTTAAACTTTCATCTACAAACGTGCCGTACAACATTGGGTTTCCAAACCGAGGTATCCTACGGACCATGTGGATCCAGAAATGATGCGTGTGCATATACGGCACCCCTGCCAACCCGAGCGACAGATTGTGATGCTTAGCTAGATCAAACAGCTGCTGGACGGTCTCAGGGGGCGGCCCCTTGGGCGCACCCCTCAGAATATCCATATGCTGGCGTAGTGAACTCACCGCGTCCAGAAGATGGCGTCCGTTACGCATGATCCCGACATATCGTCTACACACCTTCTCGGCCCACGGCAACATCCTGTTGGTCTCTGAACCCATCGTTTTCATTATGGGGTACTGCTCCGCTCCAATCATCGACTTTTCGAACCGTTTAACCCTATAATATTGACCTACGCCGTTTGCATCGTACCAAAGCTCTAAATCACTGTGCAGGCGCTCGAGTCCGACAGCAATGACAACTTTGAACGGCCCGCTGACCCCCCAGGGGTTGGCGCGAAGGATCGCCCAGATGATCGCACTAATGATACGCCCATGGACACCCAGGTACAACACGTGCAACACATCGAGCACGAATGTCATCGACGGCCAGATGCAAACCGAATCCGAGAACAACGGGTTCCGATGGCTGACAGCATCCACCACGGCCTGGCCACAGAAATGCGTCCTCCAAAAAGTGGCCACGAACGGCACCTGGATTGATGAGAACTCCCCGATGTCGGGGAGATCCGGGGACGGCTCCAACCGATCCCCAGCTTCGAGGCCGAATTCGGGCGCCCCGCGGGCCAAGGTGCGACCGTGCACTCGATCCGTCCGTTGATCCCAATACATCATGCCATCACGTATGGCCTTTGATTGAACAGGAGCGAGGGCGGAGGAACTGGGCGTGCAAGTGGCAACGGGGGCGGGACCATGATAAACGGTGTTCCCCGAGGGAGAGATGGGGAGGAGTGGGCCGAGGCGGGCGAGGAGTGGGTTGTGGGGGGCGAAAGCAGATCGGGGGCTTGGTAGGAGTGGGGCGAGCGAGATGAGAGGGAGGCGAACCTTGATTCGATCGGCCCCGTCCCTGATCAGCACCGAAACCTCGCACTGTCGACAATACTGCTCGTGATCGGTCTCGTCATCGATGTCCCCCCAGAGGTCCAGGAGTAAACCAACTGTGCGATAATCGTGCACATTGTCGGCGAATGTTTTGCAGCACCAGCACGGGTGCCATCCACTCCCCAACCCCCGAAGGCCAAACGTGATGGACTGCTCGATCAAATCACCCTTGATCCAAATTACTTGCCCTTGGCGCAGTGGTTCGCCCGCGCTCTGACGTCGTGGGTCGAGGGTGGGCCACTCTGAATTATCGTGCCTGTGGCGTGGCCTAAAACCTCTCACCAGGGCCTCCAGGCCCCACTTAATAGCTAGCATGATTGAATATATAGTGCACCAGCCACGACAACCGCATTTGCAGAATTCGCTCTTCTTAAGAAGGGCAATCGGGTGACGCCTCTGCGTCTTGACGGTGTATATAAAGAACCCTAGCACAGAATCCGTTTTTTCCCACTCTTTCCGAGCGCGCGAACCTAATCCCGTCAGCGTAGAGGCACAGCAGCAGGGGAGCGGTCGACCGACCTAGTCTGATCAAGCCAGGGTGCCACGAAAAAATCTGGTACCACCCCTGTGTATCAGGATCCGCTCGCATCGCATCCTGCGACAACTCTGGCGTGCAGTCGACCTCCTCCTGAATCGCCTCGTGGATCGGACACGTGGGAATCATCTTAAGCTCCCGCCCCGACTTACCCCACGCTGGCACTTCTAGCCAATAGTATCCAGATGGAGGTTTCCGCGGCAATATTGTGTCCAAGTGTTTTTGAAAATTACCACCTGTGTTGCAATCGGGGTTGAGCCCGCATTTAGCCACGTCCCCCATGATACCCCCTTCCTTACAGAACCATGATATCGTGCACAGGTCCTTTGCAGTCATTGGCCTACTCCCCGCGTGCATCTCCAGAAGATATTGCGCGAGCCTGTCGCCAGCCTGTGTCTTCCGCTGGGCATCGGCCTGCGCGGCAGCGCTCCATGGCTGCTGCTGCTGCCAGGGATTGAGCTGCATTCGAACTCACCGTGACACGTGCGCAAATGATTGAGCTGTCGCGGCTACGAACTACTGCAGGGGGAGTGAGAGGATGTCTCATGCGTTGTTTGCGACATAGGACCACCCAACATGTTACTAAGATGGGTTACTAAGATGGGTTACTAGGATGCAAAGCCATCCCATTGGGTTACTAAGGTGTAGGCTGGTCACGGGAGCGGGGGCGGGGTTCAGGACTGATCCATGGTCTCGGGCCGACGGATGGCACGCATCGTTAGAACATCGAGCACGACGGGCGATCGCACCATGGCACAGGCCACCCCCCCTTTAGCGACAATATCGCCACGCACGGCTCCAAGGGAAATATCAATGACGAGACCACGTCGAACACACATTCGGGAGAGATCGAACTACGCGGCGTTCCTGGATGCCGCTAAGATTGGCGCGTGCCGATCCAGAAACAAAGTGTGGCGGTCGCATGGCACATCCCCGCGAGCACTGCCATTCGAGGTCCGCAGGTGCTGGGCGAGACGGGCGAGGAGTGTGAGATTGCATATCTAGGGGACGAGGCGAGAGGACGGCGGCGCAGGGTCTCGCTGGCCACGTCAGCAAGATGCCACGAAACGTGTTGCTGGCCCGCCAGTGCAAGCTCGATCTACTCAAACATGGCCCACGCGCCCATGCGCGTGCGCCGTGCTCTCCAAATCCTGATCGGTACTGTTTTTTTCGGGGCGAGTGTCGGATCGCCAGAAATCAATAGAAATCGAGAGAAATCAATAGAAGATCAATGGTTTTTTAATTCATAGTTGTTGTATATATATATATATATATATGGTTCTGTGGTGGTTTCAACGAAAATCAATAGAACTCAATAGAAAATCGATGGTTTTTCAATTGCTGTTTTGACCTCCAGACACGAGATTCGGGGGGCTCACTCTGGCCAAATGTGAGCGCGTGACAGAATTTCCGGTACCGCCCGACGAAATTATGTCCGTGCGAAGAATTTCCTTGGTCCTGCGACAAAATTATGATCCCCTGAGATATTTTCCGGCTCCGCACGACGAAATTATGTTCGCATGAGATATTTCCGGCCCCACACGACGAAATTGTGATCGCGTGAGCTATTGCTGGCTCCACACGACGAAAACGTGCCCGTGCGCTGGATTCACTGGCCGAGCGGTGCTGGGGAAGGGATTACACGCCAAATTCCGAATATGATCGCCCTGGGCCCTCTGCACGCCATCGAGAGCTCCCCAGGGGGGCACCAGGAAACCTACCCCCGCTCCCTGACGAGCCGCATATCCGCATCACCGCGGCCGCCCCCCCACCATCGTCGCTGTGATTATCACAGCCACCAGCCGTCATCATCATCATCATCATCATCACCATCGGCCCCCGTTATCGTCATCATCTGAGCGTTGTCCTGCCCCCTCGCACTCGCATCGCTACCGTCATCACCATCGGCCGTCGTTACCGTCATCATCTGATCACCATCGAAAGGCCTTGCCATCATCGCATCACCATCATCGGCGTCGTTACCGTCATTATCTGATCATCTCGGGCCGAACGTGCCCGTCGTTCTCACGAGTGCACTGGGGCGGCTTTCAAACTGCTGTAGCACCGTGAGCTACCACGCGCGCAAGACGAGGGCGGTGAGAGAGTCAAGGACTGAGGGGGAGATGAGGATGAAGGGGGGCGGATGGTGCGGACGTCGACGAGGAAGGGAACCAATCTGAGGGCGAGGGGGATGAGGGAAGTGCAACATGAAGAGGATAGGGATGAGTGACTGGAGCAGGAGAAGCCGAACGCCAGCACCTTAAATTCGATCAACGGCCAGTCCGTGACTGTGCCACCCAGAGACTGATGCAACGCTCAGTCACCCCACTGGAGGATCACCATCGACTCCAGCTAGTTAGAGTAGGACGTCTTCCTGAGCTTGACCGCGCGCATGTCGTCGATGGACTCGATCTCCGCCCGCAGCCTCTTCAGGGGCTCAGCGATCTTTGGCGCCACGCAGCCGATCTCCTTCTCGAAGTACTCTGCACCGTGCATCCTCTTGACGTGGGTCACGTTCTGCATCAGCAGATCCTTCGCGAACGTGCCAGGCGATGCCGTTGCCTGGACCTCCTCGAGGGCCCTCTTCAGACCATCCTTGTTCTGGTTGTTCGCCCAGCTGTACTCGGGCTGGTTCTCGATGGCGTTGATCAGCAGCATCGCATGGTTGCAGATCTGGCCGTACTCGCCGAGAGCCTTCATGGCCGCGTCCGTGTTGGCCTTCAGCTCCTTCTGCTTGATCCTCTTGAGCTCCTTCTCGTCCGTCACCGACGGCGACTCGCCGTCGGCTGGCGGCGCCTGCTGCTCGCCCTGCCCGCGCCTGCGCTTCGAGGGCACAGCTGCCGCCGCCCCATCCTTGGCCGGCGACGCGGCCCGCGAGGGCACGGATGAGGCCGCCCCCGAGCGCGGCTGCGCCGCCCGCGCCTCGGGGCGCGCGCTCGCCTCAGCCTCGCGCTGCGCCGCGGGGGGCGCGCCCGCCTGCGCCGCGGGCGCCGAGCTCGCTGCCGCGGGCGCCGAGCTCGCTGCCGCGGGCGCCGAGCTCGCTGCCGCGGGCGCCGAGCTCGCTGCCGCGGGCGCCGCGGGAAGCGAGGCGGGGGCAGCCTCCGCTGGAAGCCCCCCTGGGAGCGCGGCGGCGGGGGCCGTGCCCAGCGTCTTCTGGTCGCCGACGTCGACCAGCTCCTCCCACTGCTGCCACGCCTTGTCGAACTTGTAGCTGTAGACCTTCTTCATGCACAAGAACTCGAGCCTCTTCGACTGGTTGTTCCAGCGGGCCCAAGCACCGCCGAGCTTGATGCACGAGCTGCATATGTTCAGGGCAGCCTTGGCACCTGACACTGTAATGCCAGTGCCTGATTCTTTCCCCGCGATCACTTCGAAGGGTTCGTACGTGCCCCAGTCTTGCCAGGACTCCTCCAGGCGCTCGGTGACGCTGCGCTTCTCGGCGTATTTGGCGTGCTCCTTCGCGAGCCAGTCCATCCTGAACTCCTCCTTGGCACTGTTCCCCTTCATCGATTTGTACTCCTTCTTCTTCTCGGCGCAGGCGTCGAGGAAGGTCGAGAAGCGAGCTCCGACGGCGCCCCTGGCTGGGCAGGCGCCAGCCGCCCATGCATCCTCCAGGACCTTGTCAACCTTCTTCTTCTGGTTCGGGTCGGCGACCCCCGAGCCCATCGCGTGGAACGCCCTCTGCTTCGCCAGGAGCGCCTCGTCATTCTTGGACTCGTTGAGCGCCGCCTGCAGCCTCCTGTCAAGCTCGCCGATGCACAGCGCGCCCTCGGCGTCGGACGTCGCGGGGTCCGCGGGCAGGCTCTGCAGCGACGAGGCTGGCAGCGACGCGAGGCCGATGCCGCTCAGCCGCTGCGCCTGCAGGCCGACGGCGCTCAGGTCCTGCTGCTCGAACTCGCCGCCCGTCGGGGTCGCGCCCTGGCCGCTGCGCGCGTCGTCCAGCCCGCGGTGGTCCAGGCCGCCGTCGCGCGGCGCGTGGTCGAACCCGAACGCCCGCCACCTGGGGCGGGGGGCGGGATCAAGGGTGGAGATCAACAGTTGGCATCGAAACTTGATTGAAAATCTATTGATTTCCCATTGAGTTTCGATGAAAGTTGTTGATTTCTTGCGGTGTGGTTATGTCCCCCATCCGCCTCCTCCTCTTCCTCCTGATCCTCCTCCTCCTCCTCGCCCACCTCCTCGTAATCCTCATGACATTTCCTCCTTCGTCCTTCCTACCCCTTCATCCGCCCTTCCCCCTCCTCCCTCTCCCGCCTCTGTCCTTCGCCCTCCTCCTCCTCAGTCGATCCCTCCTCCTCCTCCCCCCTCCTTCTCCTCCTCCTCCTCCTCCTCCTCGTCCTCCTCCTCCTCCTCCTCGTCCTCGTCCTCGTCCTCCTCCTCCTCCTCCTCGTCCTCCTCCTCCTCCTCCTCCTCCTCCTCCTCCTCCTCCTCCCCCTCCTCATTCTCCCCATTCCTCCCCCGTGCCTCCCCCCGTCCTCCGCCCCCCTCTTCGGCCCGCCACCTCGGGTCCCCAATCGGCGGCTGCGCGTCGCACAGCGGCGTCGTCGACCGGCCGTCGTCCTGCGCGATGCGGGGGGGGGGGGGATGCGGATCTAGAGGGCGACGGCGGTGGCAGAGGAGGACGGGGCGGGGGTGAGGGAGGAGAGGAGGGAGAGGGTGAGAGAGGGGAGAAGGGAGTGAGTGGATGATGGGTGGGAGCGGTGAGGGAGTAAGCAGGTGGAAATGCCTCGGGGAGTACGGGGGGAGATGACGAGAGGTGAAGGGAATGGGGCGAGGAATGAGGGGCGATGGATGGGGCGTGATGTTGAGCGATGAGTGGTGATGGATGAGGGGGAAATGTGGGTAATGAGATGAAGGGTAAGGGGCGAGGTGAACGATATAAGGGGCGACGACTTGGTATGACAGTGACGGCGGTGAGGATGACGATGCTGAGGCTGATGATGATGATGATGATGATGATGATGATGACGATGATGACGACGACGACGGTGATGCCGATGCTGATGGACGTGATGATGTTGATGATGATGATGCTGATGATGATGACGATGATGATGATGCTGATGATGATGATGCTGATGATGGTGATGCTGAATGAGGTGATGGTACAGTATTGTGGGCGGTGGTGCTGATTTGTTTTAGGTGGCGGCTGTGGTGGTGGTGATGGTGATGACGACTGTGGCGATTGTTTCAACCCCACTGTGGCGATGAGCGCCACGGTCAGTGGCGGATCCCAGGCGGCGAGGGGCGCCGCGCCAAGCATTCATGCACGCAGCACGAATCGCTATTCTCGAAAAGTGTTGCCGTGGAGCGAGCCTCCATCAGATCACCGCATCGCCGTCCTCGTCGGAGTCCGAGGCCGCGAGCTCGGTCTCGGCGAGCATCCCCTTCGGCGGCTCGAGCATCGCCAGCTGCTCGCTAGCGTGCTCGATGATCGGCGTGCCCCGCGCCGTGTCCTCGCCTGCTGTCGTCTTGGCCAGCTTGACCGTGTCCTCGCCTGCTGTCGTCTTGGCCAGCTTGTTCGTGCCCACGCCCTTGGTCGCAGGTGCCTTGGACTTGTCCAAGTCGGGCGTCTCCCTGCTCAGTTCATGCCCCACCTTGCCCGACGGCGGGGTTGCGCAAGCGGGCCTCTTGAGGGCGATCTTGCGCCGCTTCGCGCCGCCCTCTCCTGCGACTGCCGCCGCCGTCTGCTTCTGCGGCGCGCCGTCCTCGGGCCCGTCGTCGTCCTCGTCGGCGTCCTCCGCGGACGCAGCCTCGCCCATCACGTTCTCCGCCTGGTCCCCCGCGCCCTGCCCAGGGTCGCCTCGCGGGGAGCTCATGCGCCTCCTCCTCATCATTCCCCTCCGCCTCCTCCTCCTCCTCCTCCTCCTCCTCCTCATCCTCCTCCTCCGCATCCACCTGTGCCTCGTCGTCCTCCTCATCCTCGCCATCCGCCTCTCATCGTCATCATTGTATTCCTCGTCGCCCCCCGTCCTCTGCCCCCATCCCCCATCATTACCGTCGCAATCGTATCATCCGAATCGTGATAGTATCCCACCCCTTCTCCTGCTGCTTCTCCTGCCTCTGCCCCCCGTCACCCCCGCCACTTCCCCCCCTCTATCCATCCTGCCTCATCGTCCTCATAAGTATATTCAGCCGTCCTCCCTCCTCCGTTGTCCTCGCCCCCGCCCCGAGTTGTCGGCGTTGCCTGCATCCGCCGCCGCTGCGACGGTGCTCGGCGCCGCCGCGGGCCTCCGCAGCACGGCGGCGGCGGCCCTCGTCTCGTTGAGCAGCGCAACCTTCAGCTTGTTGGCGTCCTCTTTCTTGATGGCGCTGCCGTTGATGAGCTTCGCGACGACGGCCATCCTCATGGCAGCGATGGCCGTCTCCTCGCTGGTGAAGTACTTCGCGTCGATCTGCGTAAGTTGCTCGATCTTGCCCCCGCCGTCCTTGCGCAGCACGCGGGCCAGCTTCGACGAGGCCCTGTCTTTGCAGAGGGACATGCGCACCTTGTGGACGCCGTCCTTGCAGTCCTCCCAGGTCGAGGTAGCGGCCCTGCCCGCGGGCCTGTGGAACACCTGCGGGAACTCCCGCACCTCCTCGCCATCTCCCCAGAAGGCCTTCATCATGCCGTTCTCGTCGGGCCCCTCGACCTTCTTCGCTGGCTCGGGAGTGTCATGGCCCTTGGACTGCTGCACGGGGATCCGCACGGGGGCCTGGCACGTCGTCTCGTCGTAGTCGTAGATGTACTTGGGCTCGGCAGCAGCCGCTGGCTGATTGAAGATCGCGTCCGTCTGGCTGACGCCGATCGTCTTCAGGGGCTCGGCGAACCACTCGGGCCACTTCTTGCGCCCGAAAGCCGTGCAAGCGTGGCGAACCAAGCTCCGCACTCGGGCTGCGTACTCCTCGCTCCACTGCCGCAGGATTTTCCCTTCCACTCCAGGCCACTTACGATCGGCACCGATGGGATACAGCGCCGACTCCGTTGCTTTCTTCCCCAAGCTCATATGCGGAGAGACCTCCGTGCGGATCTTCATCACGATCTTGATGCACTCGGCCATGCGTTTCTTGTCAGGGTTGGACCGCCCCGTGTCCACGGGGTACTGGATGAAGTCGGCGGTGGTGACGAACTCGCCCAGCCCCTTCTGGATGCGCGCCACGTCGTGGCACGCCCGGACGTCGCTCTCATCGGCCATGTCCCGAATCGGGCGCCCGCGATCGATTGCGGGCTCAAGCAGGGCGCCCTAGGCACGCGAGCCAAAACAGCCACGGAAAACGCCCATGATGATATGGTGATGCTGACATTGCTGACAGTGCTGGTGATGTTGGCGATGCTGATGATGCTGGCGATGCTGGTGCTGCTGGCGATGCTGGTGGATAGTAATGATGACGAGGGTGATACGGATGACGAGGACGAGGACGACGAGGATGATGATGATAGCAATGATGAGGACGACGATGACAACGCGGATGATAGGGATAAAGAGGATGAGAGGGAGGGTGAGGATGAGAGCGAGGATGAGAGGATGAAATGAGGATGAGAGGGTGGGGTGGGATGACGAGGATGCGAGGGGAGGCGAGGATGGCGAGTGGGAGGGCGAGGAAGAGGATGAGGACAAGGCACAGCCCCCCCCCCGCGCTGGTCCTTCTGCTCGGGCTGCCGCGCAGCGCTGCCGCTTGCCGCCGCCGAGCACGGCGCCGCCGTCGAGGTGCCCCTCGCCGCCGCGGCGTCCCTCGCCGCCGCCGCCGCCTTCAGGTCGTCCTCCTGGGAGGGGGCGGGGCCCTCTCTCATCCTCTCTCTCTCTCTTTCTCTCTCTCTCATCTCCTCCCCCCGTTGTTGATTTTCTTGATGTTCTGAGAGGCTCAGAACATTGCGAAAATCAACTAACATCAACTAACATCAATGGAAAATCAATGGAAACTCAATTCATCGTATCCTCGCATCTCCTCATCCTCACCGTCGATTCCTCGTATCCTCCTCCTCCTCATGTTCGTATCCTCTTCGTCTCCTCATACTTCCCCCCCTCCGCATCACCCATCCGCCCCCCCCCTCCCCGCCGCGGGCGATGGGGAGCGATGAGGGGTGATGGGTCGTGGGGGGCAGGAGGGCGAGGGGGGGGGGCGGGGGAGGGGGGGGGAGTGGGAGGTGAGTGGAAGTGCTGGGAGTGGGGAGGGGTGGAAGGACGACGGAGGGGGGCGCTCCTTCGCCTGGCGGCTGATCCACTTCGCGTACGCCGTGTTCTTCTTCGCCTCGACGACGTGTCGCTGCCAGGCGTCGTGGAAGCCAGGCGCTGCCGCCTTGATGCGGGCCCACATCTCGTCGGTCCACTTGCTCGCGTCATCGCCCCACTGCGCATGCGACTCCTGGTCGGTCGGCCGCCCGATGAGCTCCTCGACCGACCGACCGATCGATCGATGAGCTGACCTAGGTCAGCCCATTGATCGATCGGTCGATCGAGGACCTCGCCAATCAGCCGATCGATGGGTCGCGCGAGCGAGCGACGTCCGATAAATCGGTCGAAATCGGTCGATGTACGATAAATCGGTCGATCGATCGATGCAGTGATGATCCACTCGCTCATGCGCCGCCTCGACGTGGCCATCCGTGTTGCAGTCCACCTGCGTGTTCAGCGGCGCCTCGTCACTCTCCTTCTGCGTCTGCGCCGCCACCCCCGCGTCGCTGGAGTCGCCGACCACGATCAGTGGGCCGCCTCCTGCCGTCGGTGCTGGCTGCTGGGTCGGCGTCGGCGTCGGCGCTGGCTGCGGCGCTGGCGTCGGTGCCGCGCGACGCTGCTGCGTCGGTTGCTGGTCTGGTGCTGGCGTCGGCGCTGGCGTCGGTGATGGCGAACGGGGCTTGGCCGACGGGGGCGAGCGGCCACGGCGCGATGGCGGCGATCTCGATTCCACCGAGACAGCGCCGCTCCGCCCCCTCGACGGCGTCCTGGTCGGCGCGTGCGGGTCCACGCCGTGGATCAGCATGTCCGCGATATTCTGCGGCCCGCCCTTCTCGCTCAGCCACGC